GCAGGATTTTTTTTTATACTGTGCACATTGACCACATGGACCCATTCTTTCATATGTAGGCCTACCAGCTTTCTCCCACTAGATTTGAGGGCACTAGAATTTAGGCGTACTATTACGTCAAAAACCCTGGGTCTTAAGCCATACTAGTACGGCCGAAACCCTTAAAGGGTTAATGGCCGCCTCATTGTAAAGTTTGAAAGTGACTTTAGTAGTGTCTTGGGGTAATTTGCCTAAATTAGTTATGAGGAAAGTTGGGTAGTGGACTGTGGTATTATCTGTGATTCTGCCTGATTTTAAAGGGGATATGATGTTGGTCCAGATGTGGTCTAGTAGGGAAACACTAGTCTCTGTAATTCTTGTAGGTTTTGTTATTGTTGGTAGCAACAAGCAGTAACTCAGTGTTTGTGAATTCAGTAACGTGTGGGTCCTGGTCTTGCAGGAGATTTATGTTGAAGTCGCCTGAGAGTAATAAGTGATCTTTATTCATGCGTGCATCAGTTATCATACTTCCTAGGTTTTCACTAAAATGGCTAATGTTTGACTCTGGTACTCTGTAGATGTTTATCACTGTGAAAGGTTTTTGTAGGTTTTTGGATTTGAATTTAGCTATTATATATTCCCCATGTTCATTCCTTGTGCATGTATTATTGATACATTCTAGATGGTCTTAGTAGTATACAGCTGTCTCATTCCTTCAACCCAACATTAACCCTATGATTGTCTCATTCATTCAACCCAACATTAACCCTAAGATTATCTCATTCCTTCAACCCAACATTAACCCTAAGATTATCTCATTCCTTCAACCCAACATTAACCCTAAGATTGTCTCATTCCTTCAACCCAACATTAACCCTAAGATTGTCTCATTCCTTCAACCCAACATTAACCCTAAGATTGTCTCATTCCTTCAACCCAACATTAACCCCAAGATTGTCTCATTCCTTCTACTCATCATTAACCCCAAAATTGTCTCATTCCTTCAACCCAACATTAACCCCAAGATTGTCTCATTCCTTCTACTCAGCATTAACTCTAAGACCATCACATTCCATGAACACAGCAAGTACCCTGGGAGTTCCATAACCCTTTGAAGTATCAAGTTTTTAAACCAGTAAAAGTCCTGGAAATTTCACAACCCTTTTACTCAACCCAGTTAGTGTCACCACCCTTCATCAACCCTGGGAGTGTCACCACCCTTCATCAACCCTGGTAGTGTCACCACCCTTCATCAACCCTGGGAGTGTCACCACCCTTCATCAACCCTGAGAGTGTCACCACCCTTCATCAACCCTGAGAGTGTCACCACCCTTCATCAACCCTAGAAGTGTCACTGCCTTTCATCAACCCTGGGAGTGTTAGGTAAGACACATATGCAACAGTTAGGTATCTTTATTGTGAAACGTTTCGCCTACACAGTAGGCTTCTTCAGTCAAGTACAGAAAAGTTGATAGAAGCAGAAGATCTAAAGACGATGTAATCGTCCATCCCTTAAAGTTTTGGGGTGGTCAGTCCCGTCTGGAGAAGAGTATTGTTCATAGTTGAAACAATAGGGAGAAGAAGTGACGGAGGGAGTTTTTTAAGCGCCAAGGGTGAGAGTACCCCACTGGAGAGGAAAGAACTAAATGTTGAGAATCGGGGCCCCCCTCAAACCAGCCCTCTCACTGTGGATGTCGAATTTTGTTTTGCAGGTCTGTACCAAAAACCCTTTGTTTTGCAGTGCTGAGATTGAACTTTAAAAAATGGTAAAAAATCCCGAAGGTTGTAGGTAAGACAATAGAAACATTTAGGTTCTTTTTTGTAAAATTTTCGCCTCAAGTAGGCTTCTTCGTAAGTCAAAAAGTTGATAGAAGCAGAAGAATTTAAACTGAATCAGTCATCCCCCTTAAAAGTTTTGAGGTGGTAGTCCCTCAGTCTGGAAAAAGGTTTTTTCCCCCTAGTATGAAACAATATGGAAAAAAGTGCGGGATGGACTTTTATGCCCAAGGGTGAGCGTAGCCCACTAGGAGAGGTAAAAACTCAGTGTTGAAAAGTCAGGTCCCTCTAAAATCCACCCCCTCTCACTGTGGAAGTTGCAAAAGTTGATTGCAGGTCTTCCCAAGATCCCTTTTTTTGCAGTGTCGAAGATTGAACTTTTAAAATGGTATAATCCCGACAGGTTGTTAGGTAAGACACATATGAACAGTTAGGTATCTTATTGTGAAACGTTTCGCCTACACGGGTTCTTCAGTCAAGTCAGAAAAGGATAAAAGAGAAGATACTTGAAGACGTGTAATCAGTCCATCACCCTTAAAGTTTTGAGGGGGTCAGTCCCCAGTCGGGGAAAAGAGTATTGTTCCATGTATGAAACAATATGGAGAAAAGTGACGGATGGAGCTTTTAGCCAAGGGGAGAAAACCCCATAGGAGAGGAAAAGAACTCAGATGTTGAAAGTCGGCCCCTCTCAAATCCAGCCCCCTCTCATAGGGGGTTTTGTCAAATTTGATTGCGGTCTGTACCAAGATCCCTTGTGTTGCGGGGTCGACAGTTTGAACTTTTAAAATGGTAAAAAAATCCCGAAAATTTATACCTTTAATGTTCAATCTGTCGACACGCAACACAAGGGTATCTTGGTACAGACCTCAATCAATTTCGACAACTTATAGTGGAGGGGTGGATTTGAGAGGGACCTGATTTTCCCACACTGAGTTTTCCCTCTCCTAGGGGGGTACGTCCACCTTTTGGGCGCTATAAAGCCCCTCTGTACTTCTTCTCCATATTTTTTTTCTAGGAACAATCTCTTCTCCGACTGAGGGACTGACCACCTCAAAATTTAAGGGGGATGGATGATTACATCGTCTTCAAATATCTTTTGCTTCTATAACTTTTCGAAAATTGACTGAAAAAGTACGTGTAGGCGAAAAGTTTTCCCAAAAAAGATACCAACTGTTGCATATGTGTCTTTCCTACAAAACCCTTTGGGATTTTTACATTTTAATGTTCAACCCTGGGAGTGTCACCACCTTCATCAACCTGGGGGGGTCACCACCCTTCATCAACCCGGGGTGTTCCCCCTTTTCAACCCTGGGGGCACCCCCCTTCATCAACCTGGGAATGTTTCCACCCTTTGTCAACCCCGGGGTGTCACCACCCCCTCAACCTGGGTGTCACCACCCTTCATCAACCTGGGGGGGTCACACCCTTCATCAACCCTGTGAGTGTCCCACCCTTTATCAAACCCCGGGAAATTCCCCCCATTCAACAACCTGGGGTGTCACCCCCTTCTAACCCCCGGGAGGTCCCACCCTTTTCAACACTGGGGGTGTCACCCCCCTTTATCAACCCTGGGGTGTCCAAAACCCTTTATCAACTGTGGAGTGTCACACCCTCCTCCTGGGAGTCCCACCCTTTATCAACCAAGGAGTCACCCCCCTTCATCAACCAAGGGAGTCCCCACCCTTCATCAACCAAGGGAGTCACCACCTTTCATGAACCCTGGGAGTGTCACCACCCTTCATGAACCCTGGGAGTGTCACCACTGTCATCAACCCTGGGAGTGTCACCATCCGTCATCAACCTTGGGAGTGTCACCACCCTTTATCAAATCTGGGAGTGTCACAATCTTTAACCCTGGGAGTGTCAATAACCCTTCATCAACCCTGGGAGTGTCACCACCCTTCATCAACCCTGGGAGTGTCACCATCTTTCATCAACCATGGGAGTCACTACCCTTCATCAACCCTGGGAGTGTCACCACCCTTCATCAACCCTGGGAGTGTCACCATCTTTCATCAACCATGGGAGTCACTACCCTTCATCAACCCTGGGAGTGTCACCACCCTTATCACCCTGGGAGTGTCACCATCTTTCATCAACCATGGGAGTCACTACCCTTCATCAACCCTGGGATTGTCACAGCCCTTCTACCCTGGGAGTGTCACCATCTTTCATCAACCATGGGAGTCACTACCCTTCATCAACCCTGGGAGTGTCACCACCCTTCATCAACCTGGGAGTGTCACCACCCTTCATCAACCCTGGGAGTGTCACCACCCTTCATCAACCCTGGGAGTGTCACCACCCTTCATCAACCCTGGGAGTGTCACCACCCTTCATCAACCCTGGGAGTGTCACCACCCTTCATCAACCCTGGAGTGTCACCACCCTTCATCAAACCCCTGGGAGTGTCACCACCCTTCATCAACCCTGGGAGTGTCACCACCCTTCATCAACCCTGGGAGTGTCACCCCCCTTCATCAACCCTGGGTGTGTCACCACCCTTCATCAACCCTGGGAGTGTCACCACCCTTCATCAACCCTGGGAGTGTCACCACCCTTCATCAACCCTGGGAGTGTCACCACCCTTCATCAACCCTGGGAGTGTCACCACCCTTCATCAACCCTGGGAGTGTCACCACCCTTCATCAACCCTGGGAGTGTCACAGCCCTTCATCAACCCTGGGAGTGTCACCACCTTTCATAAAACCCCTGGGAGTGTCACTACCCTTCATCAACCCTGGGAGTGTCACTACCCTTCATCAACCCTGGGAGTGTCACCACCCTTCATCAACCCTGGGAGTGTCACCACCCTTCATCAACCCTGGGAGTGTCACCACCCTTCATCAACCCTGGGAATGTCACAACCCTTCAGCCCTATAGTAAGAGCACACTAATATAATTTGAATATATTTTTTTACATATTTTTTTATAAATGTAATGATGTTTTAATAATGAGACAGGCATATCTTTAGGCATAATTTTTACCTCTCTGGAATGTTGTCTTATAGTTGCTAATAGAGTTGTTAAAAAATTAGGATGTCAGAAATGTTTTTTTTTTAATCCCTTTATGATATAAAATTTACTCTAAAATTATGAAATGAAATCATTATCCTGTTACTGCAGATTATAATTCCTAGCCTGGTTGCATCTTTGTTTATAACAAGGCCTGGCTTCTGGCTTTACTATACAGGTATTTCTTTCAAAACTTGTCGTATGTGTTTCATTAAACATGTACTTCTCAGGTAACCCAGGAGCTTCTAAGATGGACCACTAACAGTGAAACTGTAATTGGAATCACCGGCCAGAACATTGAGAAAGGGGCTCATATTTTGAACACTTTGGGTTCAAATATTATCCCTCATCTTCTGGTTGCCTGTGACTTGACACTTGCTACTTGTGTGCAACTTATAAAAGATGGAAGGTTCCTACCAGCTATGGTCTTCTCTTCTGCACTCTTGAATTCCCTCATAAGGAATCCTGAACTTAGGAAACGGTAATTCTTTTTTCAACATTTATTATTTTTATTATTGATTTATTATGTGAAAGTACAGGAAGACCCCACTTGTACAGCAGGTTAGCTTCTGGGCTACTGTTCTAAAGCTAAAATTGATGTAAAGTGAAATACATTTTTCTCCCCCTCAAATGCATATAAATGCCTGATAACATGTTCACACTCTCATATATTAAGTGAGCAATAGAGTTAGGCCTAAAAATGCATATACAGTTACACACATTACTTATCTTAAAATATTTTTGTCCTTAGCTTATAGTGAGTGGTGAATATATTTACTGTAGGAAGTCTGAATAAATGAAGAATGGGTATTATTGAAAACTGTTGCATTAGCAAAATAGTGTCAAGTGAAGTGCTGTACAGCAAGACCTGCCTGTATCCAGGTATTCTGCAAGTATTGCACACACTCAAAATGCCATGCAAATTATTTCATGTTAAGAGTAAATAAAACTAAATAATAATAATAATATATCTTTATTTCTACAAGCACATGTACAAGGTATACAGTCCTAGCTGACATCAATGACATACTACTATATAGAAAGCCGCTTGTTATGCTGAACATTTCAGGCAAATTAGGTCAATTTGGTTCCAACCCACACCTGTTGACTATCACCCAGGTACCAATTTTACTGATGGGTGAACATAGATAACTGGTGTAGAGAAACACGTCCAATTTATTTATTTTATTTATTTATTTATTTAATGTCTTTGCAAACAGTACATTGAGATTGAGTATATACAATAGTGGGTTGCAATGCAAAGAGAGCCTCTATTATGCCTTGGCATTATTGGCCAACTTAACATTATTGGCTTACATTCCATTTAATGCTAAGGAGTAGTATATCATAGTTGTACAGTAGGAAAGTAATTATTTCATAGTTGTACAGTAGAATATTAATTATAAATGAATCAGAATTTGTATAATACAAAGATATACATATTTTTATTCTGAAATGCTTTTGTGAAAAACAATGATTCAATTATATTCCTGTCAACAATGGATAAAAGGTTCAATGTGATTGTTTCAGTTGTGATGTGGAAGTACATAGGTGAGTATGTGTGTACTTGAGTATTTAGCATTTAGTCTAGGGTGATTAAGTGGCTTTTGAGAAGAGTCTTAAATTGATTTTCAGACTGGGTTACTTTAATATCTTCTGGTAATGAATTCCATATTTTGGGGCCCTTTATGTGCATAGAGTTTTTACACAGTGTGATATGGACACAAGGTATATCAAAAAGAGATCTATGTTTTGTGTTGTGGTCATGTGTCCTGTTTAAGTTGGTGAGGAAAAGTTTGAGTGGAGAGTTTATATTTGCGTGTATTGTTCTGTGAATGTAGTAGGCACATGAATAAGTATGGATGTTCTTAATGGTAAGCAGATTCAGACTTTTGATAATTGGTGGAGTATGCTGGCGGGAGTGGGAATTTGTTATCATTCTTACTGCTGCCTTTTGCTGGGTTATTAGGGGTTTTAGGTGATTGGATGTTGTTGATCCCCATGCACAAATTCCATATGTAAGATAAGGGTATATGAGTGAATGGTATAGTGCCAGGAGAGCTGATTGTGGAACGTAGTACCTTATCTTTGATAGTATGCCTACAGTCTTCGAGATTTTCTTGGTGATTTGTTGTATGTGTGTCCGGAACTTAAGGCTACTGTCAATGTGGATACCTAGGAATTTTCCCTCTGTGAGTCTTGTGACTGATGATCCATTTAGCGTTATGTTAATTGGATCATTTGCAGCTTTGTTTCCAAACTGAATGAAATAGGTTTTATCAGTGTTCAGGGTAAGTTTGTTAGTCATCATCCAGGCAGATATTTTCTGTAATTCAGCATTGGCTGTGTTTGCTAGTATGACTGCGTTTGGGTGGGAAAATACATATGTAGTGTCATCTGCAAATAATGTGGGTTTGAGTAGCTGTGATGCATTCGGTAGATCATTGATGTAGATGAGAAAGAGGAGTGGTCCAAGGACGCTTCCTTGTGGGACTCCTACTGTGATTGGTTGGGTGGAGGAGTTTGCATCATTTGCATACACATATTGAGTTCTGTTACTAAGGTATGACTTAGGTAGTTGAGGGAGTGGCCTCTGATACCATAGTGCATTAATTTGGAGTACAGTAGTTCATGGTCGACTGTATCGAAAGCTTTACGTAAATCAATGAAAATGCCCAGCGGGACTTCTTTCTTTTCAAGTGTGGTATATATTAGTTCTAGCATGTGTATGATAGCGTCATTTGTGCTTTTATTATTCCTGAATCCAAACTGACAAGGGTTTAATATGTTGTGTGAAACGAGGTAGGAATAGATCCGCCTAGAATTAATTTTTCAAAGATTTTAGAGAGCAGTGGTAAGTTAGATATTGGTCTATAGTTATTCAAGTCAGCTTGGTCGCCTCCTTTATGGATCGGAGTGACCCTCGCTATTTTGAGGATTGTTGGGAAGGTAGATGATTCAATGGATTTGTTAAAGAGTGTTGCAATAATTGGTGACAATACTTGAGAAGCTTTTTTGTACATAAAAGCAGGCAAGTTGTTTATGTCTCCTGCCTTGTTTTTAAGGGTGTTTATGATGAGCATAACTTCAGTGGGGTTGGTTGGAGCTAGGAATAGCATATTTGGGTAGGTTCCTATGAGGTAGTCTGATGGATGGGCGTGTGCGCTTGGTATTTTGTTTGCTAGATTTTTTCCTATGGTGGAGAAGAAAACATTAAGTCTGTTTGCTGTTTCAGTTGGAGTGAGTAGGGGCTCATCTGATTTTGTTAGTTTGATTGCTTTGTTTTTGGATAACTTTTTAGTTCCAAGAATTTCAGATAGAGTTTTCCAGGTTTTTTTATATCACCTTTGATGTTATGTAATCTATTTTCATAATACAATTTTTTTGACCTTATCAGGCTGGTAAGTGCTGACAAGTAATTTTTCGACTGTTCTCTAGTTATTTGGCCCATTCTATACTGTTTTTCATATTTGTGCTTTGTGTTAATGGATTTGAGGATGCTTGGTGTTAGCCAGGGATTATTCAGCCTCTTTGCTGTAATCTGTTTAGTTTTTCTGGGTCATTGTCTGTTATAGAGGCATTGGGCTTTTTTTAGAAAATTATTTATACATTCATTCATATCTGTATATGTTTCAAGCTCATTTTGCCAATTGATGTTATTCATAGCTGCTATAAAGTTGTTAACTGCTGTCTCGTTATGTAGTCTGAAGGTTACTTTAGTAATGTTTTGTTGTAGTTTGCCCAGATTAGTTATGAGAAAGGTTGGGTAGTGGTCTGTAGTGTTGTCTGTGATTATGCCTGATTTTAAAGGGGATATGGCGATTGTCCAGATGTGGTCTATTAAGGAGATGCTTGTCTCGGAGATTCTTGTAGATTTAGATACTGCTGGTAGCAACAGGCAGTTACTCATTGTGTTTGTGAATTCGGTTGTGGGTCCTGGTCATGTAGTATGTTTTTGTTGAAATCACCTGCTAGTGGTAGGTGATCTTTATTCATGTGTGCATCAGTAATCATGTTTCCTAGTTTTTCACTAAAGTGATAAATGTTTGACTGTGGTACTCTGTAGAGATGTTTATAACTGTGAGGGGTTTTTGCACGTCTTTTGATTTAAATTTGGCTATGATATATTCTCCATGTTCATCCCTTGCGCAAGATTTATTGATACATTCGAGTTGATTTGAATAATATATAGCTGTTCCTCCCCCTTGCTGGTCTGTTCTACAGTTGTGTATGGCCATGTAGCCAGGAATGGTATAGAAATCTGTAATATCAGGCTTAAGCCAGGTTTCTGTGAGTGTGATGATTGATATATTGGAATGAAGGGAATTGAGTAATGCTGTGAGGTCATCATAATGTTTGCTCAAGGATCTGACATTGTAGTTAAAGATGGTTATGTTGTTGTTTGCACTGAGTAATGTCTTTGCTTGGTCTGCTGTGTAGTAATTACAGTTACTGGTTGATTCATGTCATTCATTTTGTAAAAAATTTACATCAGGATCTGTCTGTAATCATAGGATGAGAGTAATTTTACAAAATAGATTTTCTGAGTAAAATGATATAAGATTTATATTGAATCTATAACTAGACTTGGGAAGTACAGCGCCTGCACTCTGAGGGAGGGGTGTTAATGTTGCAGTTTAAAAACTGTAGTGTAAAGCACCCTTCTGGCAAGACAGTGATGGAGTGAATGATGGTGAAAGTTTTTCTTTTTCGGGCCACCCTGCCTTGGTGGGAATCGGCCAGTGTGATAATAAAAATAAATAAACTAGACTTATGACTAATACACCATGATTAATCTAAAACTTGTAAAAATTTGAAAGAAAAAGAGATTATTACAGAATTGATAATTCAGTTATACACTTAACCCCTTCAGGGTCCAAGGCCAAAATCTGAAGTGGTGCTTCAGTGTCCAAGAAATTTTGAAAAAAAAAAAAAAAAAAATTATTTTTTCTTACAGAATTAAAGAGTATATTTTTGTAAAGGTAATAAGACAAAAAAAAATTTTCTGATCAGTACTTACCGAGATACAGTGGCGGGAAGTTGACCCAAAATGACCAGGTGGCGGCAACATCAGTGACTTCCGCAAAATCCCATTTTTTTTATTTTACGTTTTTTATGCTTTTTTCTTTTCTAGTTTTTTCTTTTTCTAATAACATTTGTGACCTGTGAGACCAGTATAATGTATATTGTATAAGTGTACACTCATTGTATTCCACGCAATAACTGCACTAATTTGTTTATCATTATATTGCTTACAAAACTTGTTTACAAGTTTATTGTAAACAAAATGATGAAAATATTAGTGTGGTTATTGTGTTGAATACAACGGTACCATATAGTACCATATGGTACAATGGTGCCATAGGGTGCAATTGTACCATATCGTACAGTGGTACCATATGATACAATGGTACCATATGGTACAATGGCACATGATACAATGGTACCATATGATACAGTGGTACCATATGGTACAATGGC